GACGTCAGAAACATGTTCTATGACACATACAGGAAAAGTTAATGAACCACACATTGTTCTTTTTTTGGAAATATTTGCACAGTCATGTTTTTCCCCCCGAAAACTGGACAAAGGCTGAACTGTTTCTGTCATGTCCACGGCTTTGTGCTTTGTCAGACACACCTACAGCAGACTAAGGCCAACAGTAGACAGGGTGACCAGATTGCCTACACAGTGGGGCATGGTGCACCAGGTACCTCTTGAGTTAATGAACTACCACCTGCTCCATTAAATGTCACTGCAGATTCACGGCGTTAGAACAAGATGAGTTCAGCATTTCTGCAACACAACAATCCTTGATTTACGTATATAATTGTTTTGCGCAGTTCTCTGACATTGTCAAATCCCAACCAACAAGCGGTCGGAAATGACAATCATTACCTTATGCATCCCATAATCGCCTCTTGCTCGATTGGCGGCAAGTAGAGAGGGTGTCCACACAAGCTCTGTTTGCTGGTCCTTCCTAATCGAATACACTGATGCACACGTCTATGTCCTGATTCCCATTCCCTTTGAGAGGAAACGAGTGCTCAATAAAATACCCAGATCAGGCTTGATCAGTTTAATACGAGCAGACAGGGGAGGGAAACTGCCAGAGATGGAGAGAAAACCATGTGCAGAACATCAACTGTCTGTGGGCCATAACCCACAGGTTGGGAGGAAATAGAAGCCAGCTGAAGTTGGGACTAGCCTGGTGAATCTGTTTTCTCAGCTCTCGTACAAAGTGGAAAGGAGACACACAGATGGATGGATCTGGGTGGAGACCTCTGTTTATATCTGTGGCAGAGGAGGGAGAATCTCGATGGGGGGGTAGTTTAAAAGTTAAAAGAAGTGCCATTAGTCCAACGTGATTTGATTTCCTGTTTCGCCAGTCTTGCTCATAGTCAGAGGGCATACAGGAAAATAATGTTGACAAATTACCTCGCTGGAAATGAAAACTTTAAGCTGCAATAAACCAAACTGCTCTTTAAAAAATACACTCTAACCAGATTACAAAGTGGGGCTGCAAAGGTCAACAGCATCCCATCCCTTCTAAGATGCTGCTGATTCCCCTCAATTAAATTCTCTCGCTGGTTTTGGTCAAAGGCAGGACATCTTGTGACGCGGTATCAGATTTATTTAATCTTAAGAAGGGCATCCAGAGTGAGCTCCAGACACCAACGCTAGGCGATCTGCCTCTTTCATCCCTTTTTTTCCTATTGGTGTAAATCATCATTAACCACGAGGACTGGTAACCATGACGTTCTTAGAAAATGTGACACTATTTTCACTCGTGTAGCTGCTGCAAGTCATTTAGCTGATGCAACTCTGGCATCACACATCCTGACTCCATGGCACTGTGCCATCCATTCACACTGAAGGCATGGAAGAGGCAGAGAATCACTGAGGCTGTGGATGTAGTTTGAGCCATGTGACGTGCCTGTTACTCCCCCAGGCTGTTGGAGAGGAGGCCCGCGCATCATGGGACTCGTCTTACGACGCTCCCCCAGACGCCGGGCCCGGTCCCCGGTCTCTGAAAGCAGACAGGTCTGACGTAAATGTGCTCCCTGCTGCGTTATCACCGCAATGCATCTCGGCAATCTCAAAGGCTGCAAGTGTGATTAATGTCATTTCAAATCCAACTCCCACAAAAAAAACAGCTTTTCATAGGAAACACTTCACACTGGTCATTTCATATGCACACTTTGTTGTTGGCTGTTGCTCAAAGGTTCTATCACGTACGAACGCAAACACACAGTTTAGACAGTCATCTATTCATATTGACATCTGCACGCCTTTGAGTAAATGTCACTTGGAACCAAAAACTCTTAATGGTTGGCATCAAACGCTCTCCACACCCATTAACGCGTTTTAACAATGTGTAATAGAAACAGTGTGCCCATTGTGACTCAGAGGCCTTTGCTATGCATCTGGGTGTCTTAACACTGCGCTATTAGCTTAGCGCTGGCACAGTGTGTGCACATGTACTTATATAATAACTCAGCAGTGAGCTTGTTAATGCGGATCCCTCTCCATCTCCCAACCCAGGCCGTATGGTTCCGTTCTGAAATTTCTCAATTAATAGACAGTTGTTTTTGATAACTGCTCTTGACAGCGAACAGGAAGCATGTGATACCTGTCCGTCAGAAGCAATCAGGAAACCGTGCAGACGATCTGCGCTGGATTAGAAATTAGAAGAGCGGAGGCAGGATGATCAAGTGGGGCCACTGCACTCTCCTCCATTAGCCGGGGCCTGAAGCTCCTGAAACCACAGGCGCAGCTCCACAGCCTCTTAAGGAGCTCAGGCAGCCTAATCAAAATCAAATCATCTCCTTTTTTTGTTCACCCTCTCCCTCTATCTTTTGGTCCTGAGAGAAACAATTACTTCTAGAGTGTGGAGGAAACCTTGGGGTCCTGGGCTCCTTGAGCAGCAGCAGCAACAGCAGCAGCAGCCCAGTGCTTTAAAGTAGTCTTTTATTGGATATCAGAGCTGGAGGAGAGTCCAAAGAAAATAGGTCGTATTCATTATTAGAGCCAGCTGTGGCTTTCCACACTGATGACTCATCCATTTTTCTTTCCCCCCTGTTCTTTTGCTTTCTTTTTTTTTTCATGATGCGGTAAAGAGGGGTGGCGGTTTGGGAGGCGTGAGGGTTCCTCTGTTAGAGAGCTCAGCCAAGTTGACACGGAGCCCATATCCACTGGTGGTTGTTTGTTTGGATTACGGAGGGTATCGCGGCCACAACTGTGCTTGCTCACTGCTTTACTCAGCCTCGCTCGTGCACTCATTGCGCCACGTCGATTCCCTGCACGTTTTTTTTAATATCTCCACCTTTCTTTCTACTTTTTTTCCCCCCAGTGCCGATAATAAAGACAGAACCCAATGATGAATATGATTCTCTGGGGATTGCGAGACTGCCCATGCATTCAAAGCCCTATTACAGCCGGCCCAGGCTCACTCCCGTCATGCCTGTAGCCGACCATGATGCCTGCCTGGTTGGTGGCTACCCTCCCTGCCCGCCTCGCCATGCTGCCATGCCATCGTCGTCCCCCAGCTCCAGCCCCACCCTGCATGACCTGTCCCCTGTGGCATACAGCCCCACCCATGCGGCACCGCCAGGCCATGGGGTGCCCCCCATCCAGGAGACCCCTGTCCACCCTAACCTCGCCCACCCAGCGTCGCCAGACCACAACTCTCCCCTAGGGATGCTTCATTCCCAAGGCAGCCCCATCCACCTCAACAGCCCAGGGCCCCATGGTTACCATGCTATCTATGCCAACAGCAGTCCCTCATCCTCCCCGGCATCCCACCCCTCCACTCCTGGGGGGACTGCGGAAAGCCCGTTCGTTCAGGCCTACAGCCCCGGGCAGGCCCAGGCCGGAGGGAGCTCACCCAGCCTGTTACCCGAAGATGCCAGCCCCCCTTCGATGGCCATCACCGTCAAACGGGAGCCCCAGGAACTGGACCAGATGTACCTAGATGATGGTGAGTTAAGACAAACAAGGTGACGTCTGCAAGTTTCCATTTGATAACAATTTGACTAACGGGAGGCATTTTGTTTTTCAACACGAAAGCTTCTCTTTTTTAGCTCTCTGTCCATGCCATAAAAAGATGGCTGTTTACATAGGACATTACATTTATTTAACACCTCTTGCTTATCTGCAAGCCCCCACACATGGCCGCGCCCTGCTGCACCCCTCAGTATTTCCTGATGGAATTCTGGCAGCAGATTTACGTCACATTTGTTTAATTTTAGACCGCGGCAGATTTATTTGCTTTTGGTGAAACGTGCGGTCCGGCTTATGTTGTCCAAGTGGCTGCTTCGCTGTAAAACGCTAAATTGCCATGATGGGATTTTGAAACAATCTGTCAAAACATGAGAGCATTGAGGTCAATCGGGTTGCAGCAGAACTAAAACAGTGGCACACGCGTAGCGAACCAAACTGTTGACACAACGACTAATGAAGGAAGCAAAACAATGGGTAGGGGTTTCCTGAACCGAGCCATTCCCCGCCTCCCCCCTCCCCATCATCTCTCTGGGAGGGATGCTGGGAGGCGGAAGGCAGAGGCTTTGTTTTCCCGTCTTTTTCCCCGTGGAGTCGACACCATACGGCTGTCGTCATCAGGGGAGGCTGTGGGGTCACTGCTCTCCCTCTGGCAATGAAACCAGTCACACCCAAGAGACCATATGGTCGAGTTTATTGCCTCCTGAGTCCATCTCACATGATGTCTCTCAGTTCGCCAACCTGTTATCTGTGTTAGCAGAGACTCCACTTGTTGTTTTGACATAGATTCATAAGAGCACATCAATGGCATTGTGCCAGTTTGTCCTCATAGAGGTGGCGGGGAGACAGATTCGCATTGAACTCAGGAATATCACCCTTCCTGTGGACCTTTTGTTCAGAAAACTGACGTAAAGTGTGTGTGTGTGTGTGCACACTTCAATCAACAGCTCTGGAAGTAGAGGGGCGATAGGAACGAGGGGACCAGGGGAGAGCTGTGGAACTGTAATTGAGTTGAAATGCAGTTGTCAGCATATCTGTCAGTCCTGATGAGTCCCATTAGTCCTCACCTCATAAACAGACAACACAGAGACAGGGGAGGGGGGGGGGGGGGGGGGGGG